TCAGGACACCCTCATGTTGTCCCAAACCCATCTGACTTTTTCTCTGCCATACTGTAGGTCAAAATGTAAAAAAATATATATAAATATATATAACTTTTCATCATGCAACTTCAATGAATGTGAGCTGGAGTTTTCAAGCTCCAAAAAGAACACAAAAAAAAACACTGGAAAGACTTTTTTTAACCAGATAAACCATGTTGTGTTATTATGTGTATGTTAGTTTTAGTATGTTATTATGTGTATACTTTTTTGGTCCTTTTTAATAATTCCATTACAGTACATTATCTTATAGCGACCAGTACATCATTAAAATAAATGTATTACTTTTGTTGAGTTCACAGAATAAATGTATTAATACGAGTATGGTACAACACAAGACAGAATAAAAAAAAAAATCCAAGTTCCTGTTTTTATTTTGTTACATACTATTTAAAAATATTAGTCAGTATACAAAATGTAATGCCGCAGTAAGCAGTATTCATTCTGAACATACAGACACCTGAAATAATGATACTGTCTTCTTCAAATAAGAAACCTGAATCTAATTGTCTGGCACTGGTGGGAACACGTACAGCGGGTGTTATCCACGGGTCACGAGCAGCAGACCTCGTTCGTCCTCGTGGAGGCGTTCACTCGCATTGTGCTGGTTGTCATGGAGAATAAACAGTAATGGAGCAACAATAACAAAGCTGGCAATAGAGTTGACCATACAAAAAACCGATAGCATGATTTATATAAACATTTTATTTACCATCTACAACAACAATAGGTCTAGAACTGGTCAGATGCATTTAAAGGGCACATATCATGAAAATCTGACTTGCTATAATCGGGTCACCGGTGCTTCTACCAACCCAGAAAACATGAAAAGTGAAACCTAGTAGCTTTGTTTTGGTAAGCCTTTCTCTGCAAGCATGTCAAAAAATAAGCCGATCTGATTTCGCTCCCCTTCTGACGCAGGAAGAGGATCTTATTATAATATTATTACCACCCCTTAATCTGCACGTTTACACCCACGGCCCCGCCTTTTTTTTTCTGTAATGCAATGGCAAAAGTTTGAGCAAAGCATGTAAACTGTTCTGTCATTGAGCACAGACGAGCACTGAACACTATTGACCAGAACATGTCACAGCTGTCTTATAAACACCTCAGGGAACTGTCACATGACAGTACATGCAAGTCGATGAGATTAATCAATGTAACTCCATAACAACTACATGCATGTAGTTCACTAACCATTCAGAAACATCCAGACTCCTCCCACTGTCATCTCCTCTCAGGCTCCGCCCACTGTCATCTCCTCTCAGGCTCCGCCCACTGTCATCTCCTCTCAGGCTCCGCCCACTGTCATCTCCTCTCAGGCTCCACCCACTGTCATCTCCTCTCAGGCTCCGCCCACTGTCATCTCCTCTCAGGCTCCGCCCACTGTCATCTCCTCTCAGGCTCCACCCACTGTCATCTCCTCTCATGCTCCACCCACTGTCATCTCCTCTCATGCTCCTCCCACTGTCATCTCCTCTCATGCTCCTCCCACTGTCATCTCCTCTCAGGCTCCTCCCACTGTCATCTCCACTCAGACTCCTCCCACTGTCATCTCCTCTCAGGCTCCTCCCACTGTCATCTCCACTCAGACTCCTCCCACTGTCATCTCCTCTCAGACTCCTCCCACTGTCATCTCCTCTCAGGCTCCTCCCACTGTCATCTCCACTCAGGCTCCGCCCACTGTCATCTCCTCTCAGGCTCCTCCCACTGTCATCTCCTCTCAGGCTCCTCCCACTGTCATCTCCACTCAGGCTCCGCCCACAGTCTTCTCCTCTCAGGCTCCGCCCACTGTCATCTCCTCTCAGGCTCCACCCACTGTCATCTCCTCTCAGGCTCCTCCCACTGTCATCTCCACTCAGGCTCCTCCCACTGTCATCTCCTCTCATGCTCCTCCCACTGTCATCTCCTCTCAGGCTCCGCCCACTGTCATCTCCTCTCATGCTCCTCCCACTGTCATCTCCTCTCAGGCTCCACCCACTGTCATCTCCTCTCAGGCTCCTCCCACTGTCATCTCCACTCAGGCTCCCCCCACTGTCATCTCCTCTCATGCTCCTCCCACTGTCATCTCCTCTCAGGCTCCGCCCACTGTCATCTCCTCTCAGGCTCCGCCCACTGTCATCTCCTCTCAGGCTCCTCCCACTGTCATCTCCTCTCAGGCTCCGCCCACTGTCATCTCCTCTCATGCTCCTCCCACTGTCATCTCCTCTCATGCTCCGCCCACTGTCATCTCCTCTCATGCTCCTCCCACTGTCATCTCCTCTCATGCTCCGCCCACTGTCATCTCCTCTCATGCTCCTCCCACTGTCATCTCCTCTCATGCTCTGCCCACTGTCATCTCCTCTAAGGCTCCGCCCACTGTCATGCTCCTCCCACTGTCATCTCCACTCAGGCTCCTCCCACTGTCATCTCCACTCAGGCTCCTGCCACTGTCATCTCCTCTCATGCTCCTCCCACTGTCATCTCCTCTCAGGCTCCGCCCACTGTCATCTCCTCTCATGCTCCTCCCACTGTCATCTCCTCTCAGGCTCCACCCACTGTCATCTCCTCTCAGGCTCCTCCCACTGTCATCTCCTCTCATGCTCCTCCCACTGTCATCTCCTCTCATGCTCCGCCCACTGTCATCTCCTCTCATGCTCCTCCCACTGTCATCTCCTCTCATGCTCTGCCCACTGTCATCTCCTCTAAGGCTCCGCCCACTGTCATGCTCCTCCCACTGTCATCTCCTCTAAGGCTCCGCCCACTGTCATGCTCCTCCCACTGTCATCTCCACTCAGGCTCCTCCCACTGTCATCTCCACTCAGGCTCCTGCCACTGTCATCTCCTCTCAGGCTCCTCCCACTGTCATCTCCTCTCAGGCTCCTCCCACTGTCATCTCCTCTCAGGCTCCTTCCACTGTCATCTCCTCTCAGGCTCCTCCCACTGTCATCTCCTCTCAGGCTCCTCCCACTGTCATCTCCTCTCAGGCTCCTTCCACTGTCATCTCCTCTCAGGCTCCTCCCACTGTCATCTCCACTCAGGCTCCTTCCACTGTCATCTCCTCTCAGGCTCCTCCCACTGTCATCTCCTCTCAGGCTCCTCCCACTGTCATCTCCTCCTACTAAGCCCCTGCTGCCCTCATCTTTTGGACTTGTTGTTGTTGTTGTGTTAAGACACGGGGACATGTCTTTTTGATGGAGCGTTAATGTCATGTTTGGTCTTTGTTTCTGTTGGACTTTGTTGGTTTGTCTCTGTTTCCTTGTTTGCATTGGTTGCCATGGTTGTCCATTGCTGAAGTAACACCTGTTTCTTGTTCCTTTGATTGGTTAGGGTTAGTACATTGAGGTTGTTAGTACAACAGTTGTTTTCTGTTAGTCTTTGTTCTGTCTTCATCTCATTTTAGTTGGTTGTTCTGTTCAAGTGTTTTGATTCTGAGTATCCTGAAATCCTTTGTTATTTTTAAGTGCACAAATAAAAATTACTTTTATAGATTACTTTTATAAATTACTTTATAAATTAGATCCTGCTCACATTTTTCATCATCTGCGTCGACCAGCGGCGGCAGCCACCATCACAGTGTCATTTATTTCAATTTTATATTAGTCTAGTTGAAAATAATAGCTTCTGGTTTAAAGGTGCCGTCGGCAACATTTTTTTGATCATATTCAGTGAAGTCGACACTATAATCCGACAGAACAACATAAATAAAGTGCTTTTAGAAAAAAACCCGAGCTTCTAACTCCACCTGGAGCGTGTTATTTGTTTTGCAAAAATCCACAGCTCCCGGATCATCATGTCCAATCAGCGCAGGGGGTGTGAGATCTGACTGCCAATCACAGATCGGGCACACGCCACCCCTCGCGCACGCTACAATCACATGCACACGCCGGAAGTTCGCACAGTAACGAAGAGTGATGGTAAATGGACTGCATTTATATAGCGTTTCACAGACCCAATGGCCAACAAAGCGCTTTACATATTGCCTCACATTCACCCATTCACTCACTCATACACCAACGGCGGTGTCAGCCATGCAAGGCGCCATCCAGCTCGTCGGGAGCAGCTGGGGTTAGGTGTCTTGCTCATGGGCACCTATAATCAGGTGGAACCGGGGATTGAACCACCAACCAGTTTTGTTTGTAGACAACCTACATGAACCACTGAGCCACTGCCGCCCTAAATGTGGCGGATGTATCTTGCTTTCAAAACACTAACAAATCAAGTAAGCTCATTTAGAGTATAAATGACGTTAGCAATTGCAATCTATCGGTAGATTAGCCAGATACTCCACGGTGCTGATGGATGCTGATGAGACGGGCGCGTCACAGATAACCTGGTGCACACGCACTGACGAGCACGAACTCGGTGGGAGGGTGTCCGTTGATAGTGGGGGAGGGGCATGAGAGTTGTAAACATTCACAATTTTGCGTAAGTCCACTCAATCTGCCAGACTTGCCGACTGCAGCTTTAAACCTGTTTTGTTCAGTTTGTCTAAAAACAAATAGCGCTCCCCATAGGAAAAATGTAAGAAACTATTTTGTTTGAATTGTATTTTCACTTGAACATTTTTCATTATGTGTAATGAAAATATATTGATTAAGTATTGTATGGTCTTTAAAATAAATATTTTTACTTTACTTTTTATTTGTTGATTAGGAAAATAAGAATTAAGTATAAGTATTTAGTATAAGAAAAAGTAATATACTTGTCTGTAACCGAGTATTTGTTCAGTGTATGCGCACCACTTTAATGCTTTCCCGTTTATTACTGACTAATTATTCAAATGCTGCAAATATACTTCATTTCAACATGGTGAACCTACAAGCTTTATATTGTGTTGTCGTGTCTATATGTAACTTCTGCATGACAGTTTCAACTAAATAAAATCAGTAGTATCTAAATCACGCAGGTGTTCTGAAACATAACTTGTGTTTGTTAGTGAGACTGGCGCACTGAACTGATTATCACTTGTGTCTTTACAGAAGAAGAGGAAGCAGAGGAAGAGAGATGTGGACTCACTCAGTCTCTGCAGTTTGGACATCAATGTGAGTTACTTTAATGTGTATTAACAATTATAATACTCATAAAAGAGCTTAGTACTCAGAGTTATAATACTCAGAGCTTATTTTCTGCAATGATCCAAAAGCCTATGGAAAAATGGCCAGGGTGATGCGAACTTCTGCTTTGGCCTACACAAACATCACTGCATTTCTCTCCTTGGTACCGGAAGACTTGGCATGAAGGGTTCAAATTCTTCAGACTGACTATTACATCGCAGCTTCTGCTGAGGGATTTTATGGGCATCAAGATTTATTTTTTTGCCAAAGTCTATTTGTGATAATGAGCCAAAGGCCGTCAGTGCAACTGAAATGAACAACATTCCTCACTAAAGCTCTTTGCATCGCTGAATGGTATGTGTGAAGAGGAAAATCATATTTTTTAAAAGGTCAGCCTTAGCTCGCTTCCTAAAGCACATGAACAAAAAGGCATGTAATTACAAGGCTTTATTGGAAGTGTTTGATTGCATATGTGTGCTTGTGTGGTCGAATGGTGCTGTGTGTAGAGTGCCAGCGAGGAATACAGCGTCACTGTCAGTGATCTGACTCAAGATGAGAGCACACATCTCTACATCATGTGCCAGTACTGTTGTGATATGGCACACTCTTCACTGACACTGACGGATGTTTAGTTCTGTGTAACTTTGCATGGAACAGCCATTCAGAAATATAGGAACATGTGTTAGAGGTTTTGCTTTAATGTCTGTAACTCCCACTGGGTTGTTATTTCTGAATGTACTATTGCTCTAAAATACTTATTTTTTCGGGTGGCATATCTGTATCATGATCGTACGGTAAACTGCCGTATTTTTAAGACTAATAGTTTAGTGCAGATGAACTAGAACTGACATGAGCCAGCGTTTCTCTGAGCTATTTATTAGATTCTCCAGGCACATTTGTTTCTTTCAGTGGCATTTTTAATGGCAACATCTGTTTTACAGAAAATATAGTCCAACACTCTGACATACCTAACAGTGTCAGCATTTTTTTAACTCAAAGATAATAATTTGATAGGAATTTAGATGTCAGACTTGTTAGTTACTGGCAAAATGGCAGCATGGAAAACCGTGCCTCTTCATACATTTATGCAAAACTCCAAAAAATGTGTGTATAAATTCAATTGTCACTGCAGTTTCCAGCTGGAATGAACACTAGTGGCAGTAAAACACTGACAGCTTTTCTTCCCTGTCACACAAATCCCTTCCACACAGATTATTGATTAATAAAGACGTATTTTTGTGCGGTTTCTTGCACGTTACTATGATATGAGCTCAAAACACTTTTACCAAAGTGCATGATTGGTAAACTAATACATGCAAGACATGTCGCCACAGGCACATTTTTCCAAAGGTGTGCAAAATGAGGATGAGTAAACTGTACTAACTTTTTCTCTGAACTCCATTTGTCAAAACATTACTCTTTTGGTTCCTAACAGAGGCATCCTTATTTCATGTTTATGATGTTTGATTGATTTTAGAGCTGGAGGCTTTGAGGTTTCTTCAGAGGTCAAAGCACTGTATGAATGTAATAACTAATAGTTATTCCAGCTGAATTGGACATAATTGCAGCTCTCCTGTGCTTTTATAGTTGAAGGGCTCTAATAGGTTTATTTCTGCAGACATTAGCAAGACGACCCAGAATGCAGTGCTTTGAGAGAGCTCCAGTAATGACAGATTCCATACCTTGAAATTGCGGTGGCTTTGAACGTACCCTGAGCAAGTCCAAACCGTCCTGGAATCTGCTCGAGGCGTGTGTGTTTGCCATCGCAGACTGCCTGTGTGCGCTCTGAGCAGAGGAGCTGGTGTTCAGTGCAGGAGCTCGGGTGGGCGCGTTTGGGAAGGTGGGTTTGTTACGGATGTGCTGTGATGTCAGTGTGGGAAGTCTAACATGGCTAGCCATTGTTTTCATGTTTGGGTGCTCCTCCTTTACTGGTATATGTGACTCAAGTCTTAAAATGATTCTCACTCAACAATTCATCGCTCCAGTCACTGATGGTAATCACTTTCCATATTTAAAGTTCCTAATGTGAATTATGGGCTTGGACCCTCCAAAGGAAGTTAAAACAAAAGGTTTGACAGTCTTACAAGTAGGGTTTTTATTGTTAACTAAAACTAAAACCATAAAAAACTTCAGCTAAAATTAAAATAAAATAAAAAATAAAAAAATAAAATAGATTCAAAACAGAAGCGGTAGTTGGGGATTACCGGTGAGCTTTTTTTCCCAGTTCTCCGACTTTTCCCACTTCCCACTAAATGAACCACTGGGGTGGGATGAAATATAACACCTATTGAAAACATGGAAATCAAGTTAAAAAAACGTATAATCTGCTGATTGATTATATCAGGTCTGTCCTACAGCGTTCACACAATGTTTCAGGCAACGTTTTAGTAACCAAAAAATGTAGACTTAAATCACTTTCAATAATGTGTCAAATCTAGTTTATTTATGGAGCCCTTTACAACTTCTCAGTAGACCAAAGGACTATACAGTCAGTAAAATACAGAAGATACAAACAACACAATAGCTCAAATAAAATACCGCTTCCAGAAATCCACAATTAAAAGCCATAGAAAACAAATAAGATTTCAGGCAAGATTTAAAGGGTTAGTTATCCAAAAATGAAATTCTGCCTTTAATGACTCAGCCTCATGTCATTCCAAATCCGCAAGACCTTCGTTCATCTTCAGAACACAAAAGAAGATATTTTTGATGAAATCCGAGAGCTTTCTGTCCCTCCATTAACAGCTACACAACTACCACTTTCAAGGCCCAGAAAGTAGTAAAGACGTCGTTGAAATAGTCATGTGACTACAGTGGTTCGACATTAATGTTATGAAGCGACGAGAAAACTTTTGTGCGCAAAGAACAAAAACAAAAATAACGACTTTATTCAACAATTTCTTCTCTTCCGTGTCAGTCTCTGACGTTGTTCACGTTGTAAACACGGTGCAGTGCTTCCTCTAACGTCAGAACGCCGGCTCCTGCATCAGCATCACACACACCTGTCGTCGTGATCACGTGAACAGAGCTTGGGTCAGTCAGAAAGCTCTCAGATTTCATCAAAAATATCTTCATTTGTGTTCTGAAGATGAACGAAGGTCTTACGGGTTGGAACGTCATTGGAAGATACAGATCTAATGTCAATGTTAGGGTCCATGTAAACGCAGCTACTGTCAGCTTAAAAATAATAACTTCAGGTTGAATTATTAGATTTTTCTCCAGCAAGCATTTCACCTCCTCATAACATAATAAAAAATACATTTGAGAACTCGTTCCTCCAGCTTTGAGAGGCAAGTAAATGTAAATGTCATAAGAATAAAGATAAGGCATCCCAAAAACCCATCAGACCCAGAGGCAGCATGAATAAAGAAAACAGAATAGGGCCCAAAACGGAGCCCTGTGGAACTCCACAGTCAATAGAGACTGTAGAGGAACACAATTCCCCAACCCTTCCCGAAAAAAAACTATTTTAAAACAGTCCCTTTCAGACCCACGATATGCTGAGATTATCGTGATCTATTGAATCAAAAGCTGCACTGAGATCCAGCATAATTTAGGCTCCTTGATTACCCAGGTCACCAATATGTTACAAATCATTTGTATCCCATTGTGAAGCTGATTCAGTGCTATAACCCACCCTGAAACCAGACGTCCAGCACTTAATTTTTAGCCAAAAAGGAGCTACTGTCTCCAATATTTTTGAAATACAAGGCAGCTTAGAAATATGTAATCATAGCAACAGTACACTGCTCGAGTGCTTTGCCTTTAGGATCAGTATCGGACAGTACATTCTGAAAACATATAGCCTAATAACACAAACATTTTAATTTATTAATTAAAAATATACAACAAAACCCTATTTACAATAGTTGACAGTAAGGCTGCGCTCACACTGCAGGGGCTTAATGCTCAATTCCGATTTTTTGAAGAAATGTAATTTTTTTGCAAGGCCGTTCACATTTCCAATTAAATGCGACCTTTTGTGATCTCCTGTGTGAACGTGAACGTGAACGTGAAATGACCCTGAAGTGACCCGGATGCGCAGAAGAGTACTCAACGGTCAACGACGTCACTTGTTGTTTGCGGAAGTAGCTAAACATGGAAATCAACAGTGGAGCTCGTTTAGCAATATTAAAGTTATTTTCCCAACAGAGCCAGCACAATTACAATCTTCTCATTCCCGCCTACTTCAACGCAGAATTATGACGTTTGTCGCATATCAATGACGTGCGGGTCGGATACATGTGACCTGGCCGTTCAGATTGAAGTCGCATTTCAAAAGAGCGGATACATATCGGATTTGGACCACATACCCAAGTGGCCTGGGTCGCATTTGAAAAGATCGGATCTGTGTCGTTCAGACTGTCATGAAAAGATCAGATACAGGTCGCATAGGGGTAAAAAAATCGGAATTGGGTCGTTTCAGCCTGCAGTGTGAACGTAGCCTTAGATAACAGTGCTAGTGGTAAATAATTCACACCTTTTTAATTTGACACCTTTTCCCTAAAGACTCTGGCTTGTGTGTGTGTGTCAGAGCTGAAGTGTGCAGTGGGTTGAGTCTGGGGTCAGGGGAGGCCGGAGCATGTGCCTGCCTGGCATGTGTTCATCTGAGCCACAGTCTGCCAGTGCTACACAATAGATTGACTAATATATCGACAGAGCCTGCAGTCACTGGTACACTGCTACTGCTATTGTTTATCACGCAGCCGCTTGCAGTTCCTCTAGTGTGGAAAACAAGATATTGATCTCTATCAAGGGCCTTTCCCAAATAGAGCGCAGCCATTGTGGTGGTTTCACCGCATGTATTGATATGGCTCACCATGGGCGCTCGTCTGTTACTGGGTAATCGTGCTGTGAGGAAAGAGTCTGACGCACACAGACTCCTGTGCTCATGCACTGGGGCACAAACACTAGTTCAGCATGTTCTCTTTATTTTAAAAGAAAGTATTTGTTTTTCCTTGACTTAGTTTGTGCATTGATTTTGTTGG